ATGGGATGCGCGCACTAACCACCCCTTGAAAAGTATTTTTGTACATCCTATGTGAAAGGGGCTCAAAGGGCTCTTGGGACCCATTAATTCACTTAATGTGGTTGACAAGGCAGATTATACAGAGACTAAAAATAATCAACATCTAGATTGTAGTCTGTAATGTTGAAAAAAGGTTTGTTTACATCAGTGCTGAATGCTGCAGATTGAAGGTTTCAACCCTCCAGTTGTACTGGCTGATGGATATTAACAAGGTAAAAAAAATAAAGCTTAAAGATATATTCTATCTTTCTTTTCTTTATTTAAATATGTAAACCATGTATAAATGAATCATTGGGGAGTTACAGTACAGTCTCTCCTTACTTTTTACTTAGAAACAGATAGCAGTCAGGTGTTACAGTGATGACCTTCTGAGGAGTCCACTCACAGCGAATCTTACTGCTGGGTGACCTTTTGTAGCAGGACAGGCTGGGAGTCTCTGGAGGATCTAACACATAGAAAAACAAATGTATGCTGACACAATTATACAATCATAATTTATAGATTCAGTCAATCAGTATTTTTTTTATTTTACTTTAAATCATTATAAAGGTGACATGCATGACATTTTCAAATATATTACTCAGTCAGCAGTTATGAGTCTATGAAATAGAGAAAAAGCTGAAAACCAAACAGGTTAAACAATATCATCATCCTATACTGTACTATAAAACCGCTATATTTTTCATTGATGGGATTCAATTATAAAATATTAAGGCCTTCTTGAAAGTCCCTCATTGATCTTCATCCAGTCTGTCTTTTTATCAGCTTTATTAAGGGTATTCTGAAGAAATACAAATACACAAGCTCATAGAAATAATCATTTATAAAGCACATCTGTCACTGCTCCTTTGTCTTTACTCACCTGCGACGGTGACTCTTACGGAGAACATCTGTGTGCTTTTGTAATAACAAGCATACTTTCCGGAGTCTGTCACTCTTACTGAGGACAGAGACAGCGTCTCCCCTCTCCCATCCAATGTCACTTCTCTCCAGTCTCTGTCTCCTTTCCCCACTGTCTTCCCGTTCCACTTCCAATGATGCATTCGTTTAATGCCCCTTGTCACCCTGCTCCCTTCCTCGTCCTCCTCTTCCTCAAACCCCCCCCTGTCTTCCACCTCTTCAGCATCCAAGTTCAGTTCACTCTTTAAGAGCCAGCTCACTCTGCTTTTCTGAACATTGTGAGTGGTGGGAGAAACTGTGTATCCTGTGTTGGCGTGTGTGATGACTTTGTTTTCTTCTGCCTCAGTGGGGTTAGAGAGGTCCCCTTCACTTACAGCATTCTTTGTTGTCTGCTTCTCACTTTTCATGAAAACTCCAGTGTCATTTGATATGTTTACAATGATTGGGTTTTCATGTGAAGAATTTGATCTTCTGGTGATGTTTGAGCTGTTTCTGGACATGCTGACCTTTACACCGTCCACCTTCACATGACCACTGCAGGTTAGAACCAGCTTACTGCCTGGGGACAAAACCAGCACACCAGGTGGAGGCTCTGCACAGGAAAACAAACAACAGAAACACAGTTTAACCTTTATCAAAAGTTATCTGTATTTTAGATCAATTGTTTTGCTCACAAGTTCTTTGGCTCTGAGATTTGGTTGCAGTTGACTATGCAGAGCACACATTGGACTCAACGTTGCATAACAAGAATTATCAACTCCTTTTCAACTTCCTCTTTTAATATGTCTCTTTTCTTTTCAGTTTCTTTCTCTGTCCTAAACCATTTCCCACTTTCAGTCATCTCTCGCTGATTAACATTTCTGACCTTTCCTAATGAATATGATTTTTTTATTCTGAAGTTTGCTCAAAACTCACACCTTCAAATATACATGCTGTAGCTCTTTTTGTGTGTGGTCTTGACTGGCTTAATGTCAAAAGTCCAATGCCTTTTTTGAGTCCAAACACGCTTTCTCTCTGACATGTCAATGTTTAAAAACTCCCTCTGACTGTGCCAAGTACAATAAACGAAACCAAGGACAAAGACACATTTAACGTAGAATCTGATTGGATGATGAAGAGATGGCAGCATGTCCAAAAAAAAAAAAAACAACAGTAGTTACATGTAAAAGCATCAATAGGCCAAAGCCTGAATTAAAAAGTCTGAATTTCTGGATATGTGACGAAAATAAGGGAAAAAATAAAAATAACAAAAACTTAATACTAGGAAGGACCCAATCAGTGCAACCTGTCAGAACACTCTGTTCCCATGCACAGAGTGCCTCAAGGTTCAGTGTTTGGGCCACTCCTGTTGACTTTTTACCTATTTTCTCTTGGTAAAATCTCCAAATTGTGTGTTACAAACTTTCAATGATGATAAAAAGCTTTCTGTGTCTTCAAAGCCAGCTAACATCTAGTGCACTCACCACTGACAACTACAAGGCAATCTTAATAATAATAATACATTTTATTTTATAAGCGCCTTTCTGGACACACAAGGACACTGTACAACAATCAACATTTAAAAAACGACGATGGATAAAATATAAAATATAATATATATATATATATATATATATATATATATATATTCACAACAAATGTATTTCTGAACTTCAACTCACCAGAAATTTACAGCAAGGAATATAACTTTAAAATCTTACAATTCATATTTAGAGATCTTTATAACCTTTCTCCAGCTTACCTCATAGATCTCCTTCAGACGAACATCTTTGTATGTTTCAGCAGTCTTTCTCCAAAGCTAAATCCGAACGGAACTATTCCCCACATACCAAAACACAACAGTATTTCAAACTGCTTTTAAACCCCTTGCTTATTTACCCTAAATCCAAGAACTATACCTTATACTACGACTATATTGAATTTAACTTTGCTCTTTGGTTGATGGCCTGTTTTATTATTTATTGGATTTACTTTATATTGTTTATACGTTTTACTTTTTTGGAATGTGAGCTAACATTGAGTGTCGCAGAAGGCATTAATCATAATTATTCTTATTCACTTTCAGACTTTATCATAGAAAAAACTTCAAGTGTTAAATATGTTTGCAGACATAATATAAAAACATTTCTGAGCTTTAACAAAGCTTAACTCAACAGCTTTTCTAGAATTAAAGTAACCTATACAAATACAACAAAAAAAGATACTTTCAGACATTGTTTTTTTCTTTTGAAATAAAAATATCATACTAAATTAAATATTAATTGGAAAATATATTGTGATCAATTCTTTCTGTCAATATGATGTGAAATGTGATGTATTATCTTGTATTATCAAACTTATGATTTGCTCTGTGCTTAAACTGCAAACAAAGCAGGCTGAGTTAGTTACATTTGCTGAGATTTATTTTGTCTTATAGTCCAGTCAAAAGATAAAAGAATCTTAACTTTTGTTTGTGATAAATGACAACAATAACCCAGCCATCATAGGGCAGAATATGTGTATTTGATGTGTTTTGTTTTGCATGCAAGTTTTTGTGCGTTATCCTGACTTGATGTGTTGTAAATGAAATTAGAGTTTGTAAGGTTGGGGAGCTCCCAGACTCAAGCCTCGTGTGTGAATGTGAAATCGATCAGATTCATGTCAAACATTGACAGTAAGTCATGGAGTTCATTCACTTTTCACACAGATTAAAACGTTAATCTACTTGTTCTTATTACCTTGTCGTTTTCTGTTACAGGCTTACGTGTCAGACAAACTTCTCCGTGGATCTTACCTTTTCTTGGGCAGGTTCCTTCAAAAATACAGCAGACTGGTTCGGCACACAAAACAAACATCAAAATGGGAAAAATCTGCATTTTGGCGCATGAATCTCCCTTCACTGAGTCCTCATACTGTCATTGCTTTCGCGCAAATAAGCATCAGTTGGAGATTGTTGTTATCACCATTTGACATTTTTCACGCAAACAAAGTTCTTCTTCTCTAGACGGACTGACAGACAGGCAAGGTTTTTAGCCAAGACCGGCTTCCTCTGGTTGCTGACCGTAAGACCCGTTATTGTGAAATCCCAGCTCTCTTCCCCTTGTTCAGCCCGTTAAACAGAGGAAATCCTCCTCAGCGTCATTAACACTCCCCCCCCCCCCCACCATGATAGTCGAACATGGACCTGTTTTTTTTTATACAACAGTTATTTTTGAATGTCATATTCAGGAAGTACATTTCAATTATTTTATTTTTACATAGCCTGTCATGTACTTTCTAAACGTTTAGGCCTACATAAAGATCTTCCTTGACTTCAAACTAAATTGCATGGATGTGTGTTTAACTTTTAAATGGTGTGACAGTGTGAAGTTGTTTATAATGGTTGCATTTGTATATTATCCCTCAGACAAAACTTAAAGTAACTCATCTACACCAAAGACAAAACAAAGTTTGATAAATAAACCAGATCTAAAAGTTACTTCTGCCCCCCAAAAATGACTTCCATATTTCTGTTTCCGTACTTAAATTTGCATTGTAAATAATAATAGCAAGCTTCCTTGTTTTTAAAGCTTGTTCTGTTCCTCAGTGTATTCATAAGAACACTTTGGTTTCTTTTGACCTTTGACACTGTTGGAAGTATTTTCTAACCAAGGCTCAGCTGCTCTGTATTCCACTAGAAGAGCTTACCTAAGCTTTGACAACATTTTTCCAAGCCTTGTTCATCGATCAGCATTTTGCAGTGTTTTTTTCAGTCTATCCTCTACTTTGTTAAATACTGTGGCAACATCAGTCCTCTGGGTAAACAAACATGTTCTCCCACCTCATTCTGGGAGGGGGGGTCAGTGTTGACAATAGCATAGTCAACACAGGAAAGATGCAGATCTTGAGTGATGCATCATTAACAAGAAAGAGCCACAATTTTTGCATTGTTAAGGCATGAATATCCCCAAACACCTTCAACCTTTATACATGGACAAATACAAAATGTAAAGTACTTAACTGAATGTCTGGTGTGTGCACAATATGAATAAGAACATTTTTCACACAAAATGACATGTACTGTATGACTCAGAGTTTGTAAGTCAATTTCTCCTCATTTTTTTTTTATTATCACAGAGTTTCATTACGTGTTGCCCAGGTCTAAGCCAGTGGCAGTTTTGTCTTTTCATACAGTTTTTAATTCTGTGATGGCATGAGAAGTTACATCTCATGGCCCTTGGTCAGACCAAAAAAAAGGAAAGCACTAAGAGCTTACAATAAGGTGCAACTCAATTAGGCCAATATAAATCACATCAATATGATGCAAAATAGAAAAGAAAACAGCTGAAGTTGAGGTATAACAAGTCAGAAAACAAATCAGTAAGAGAAAAAGGACAAAGTCTTGCGACAGTCTTGCAGTGTTTTGTAACTTGAAGTAACGTTCTCACTGAGAACTATAACACAGAGGCTCTAGGATAGAAACAAAAACTTTTACAGATAATGCTGCCTGCACTTCACTGGTTAAAAGTCTCATGATTCTGCTTGTTCATCCATTCATTTTGACAGAGGAGGCACAACTTGAAATGACAGGTTGAAACAATCTTTTAGATCATAAATAAGAAGTAACCTTGACATTTGTATAACTTGCTGCTTTTCCTCAGTTATGCATTGCAAATCATAGTAATGACAACCCTTATCATATGTTTTTCAAACATATACTGTACATCACCATTAAATCCAAGTCTAAGATCCATGTACCGCTTCTTTTTGATGAATTGGATTTTAAATGATTGATTATAGAAGTTTCAATTTGGAAGAGAGAAAAGAGCACAGTGACGTAGGTTTTTAATGAACAGTCTGCGAGCTCTTCGTCTTGCTTCAGGTGAGCACATGGCGCATCCTGTATTTGTGTTGAATATTTCACTCAATCTGGCTGTTTTCCTTGGAATCAGAGGCAGGACCGGGGCTGTTGGATGCAGTGGCACGAGCCTTCCAACTAAACAGAGCTTCCTGTTGGAGAGAGGAAGACTCAACTGTAAGTGTAACTGTTAGTTTATGTATTTTAAATGTGTTAATAGTATACATGCATGTATATATTGTAAAACAATTCACCTGCACAGTCCCCAGAGTAATTGTCCAGCCTCCAAGTGAGTCTCCACCATGGGACCTCACTGCTGTTGGGGGGAGGACGCCAGCACAGGAGCCCTGAGGTGCAGCTGCTTCTGTGTCAGACGCTAAAGCTGCTGTGGTTTGTGTGGATGGACGGAGAACAGTTTGTGTATTTTGGCCTGGTGCAGGGCCCTTTTCCTCCTCCATGGGTGTGTCTTGAGAGCCAGAGGAAGAGTTTGAGAGCGGCGGAACTGACCCCGAGATACAACTAGGAGCCGGGCTGCACTCACCGGAGGCGTTCGGCGGAGTGTGAGTGTGATTATGTTTCTTCCTGCGGAGCGTGTCGATCCAGTTAGAGCTGTGTCTGGATGCAAAGTTAGCTAGGGCCAGAGACGAGAGCCTCATGTTCTTCCCCGAGGTGATCAGCTCTCCAAATCCTTCCTGGTGGGCAAACGCGTAACCTGACCTCCTTGAACCACCACGAGCGCCCAGACGGCCCTCTGACACACTGCCCACCCCACGCCAAGTTCCTCCCACGCCACGACCCACAGGCTTTCTCTTCTTCTGATGCACCAGCTGAGTGTAGCGTACCTGGAAGGTGAACAGGGAGAGGGAGAAAGAATCAGTTACATGTTGTTGATATTTTTAAGGGAGCTTGGAAATGAACTGAGCAGATAGTTTCACTTGACAAAAGAAAAGACAATGGTAAATGGTAAAGACCACCCTTTAAACTTGACAGGAAAAGTGCACGACCATGTGCCTCTCATTTAAGCACAGGGTCACACACTTATGGAGGTTGATATATTTGGGTCCAGCCTCAACGAGGTTATTGCAACTTGACAAGCAGTAAAGCACTTAACCCTCTTTAAGTGTTGTCGAACAAAAGCTAATCATAATAAAGCTCCTCTGAGGAACTTTTGGGTTGTTTTGATTTTGGCACCACCTTTGGGAATTAATTTACCTCTTTGCTGATCTCTTCCTGAACATGTTGAACTCGGCTGATTGTTAAAGCCTTCCGGAAATTTTTTCCAACAATCAGGCGAACTGTTCCATTAAATGTACTTTGATACTGTCTAACAAATTACTGCTCCAGCTTTAATGGTGAGTTTATTTTTGGTAATATGTAGGTTTACACTTATGGTATAGGTAACAGTTTCTGCTCTCATCATAACTGGCTCAGTAATTTATCTTGAACATGCCAAAATTATTTAACTAGTCCATGTTGGAAAAGGCTTCAGGATGTATAAATAAAACATATCTAGTCCTGCCACATTTTTATTTTAGACTTTATCAATTATCCAAGGCCTAAGCTTTCAAAATAAAATACAGTTAACTAGCTAAGCAACAAAAAGCAGCAACAAATAAAATATATAACACACTTCAATTAGTAGACAGCAGACTTTACATCTGAAAATATTTCATTTTAATCTCGGATTCACAATTCTATAACAGTTAAATACATTATTCTTCTCGCATAATGTTTTTATTTCTTCATTTCAGCTGTTCCATAATTAGCTAATTAGCCTAATGCTAAACTAAACTGATGAGCTTCAATCCTTTTGGGTTGCTAACGTATTTTACTTTCTGTTTTACTGTTTAGCTACTGGTGTTTCAACTTTTCCTCAGCATAATCCAGTAACAGTGGTAATAGAGATAGTAGAACAACTGCAAACAAACTGAAAGAAGTAACTTCTTTTTATTATTTCAGTCCTTAAGTGTTTGTGTTGAGCTAAGCAATTGAGCTGTCCTACATGTGGATGCTTCAATGTAGCTAAATTATTTCATTTTCTGTTTTGCTCAAAATTGAACCCAGATAGTACCAAATAACTGAAGAGGCGCTCTCTCACATCACTCTGACTGCAGCTTTGGTTGGATGCAGCTAGCTTGTGACAAACTGACTACTATGGCCACTCACTGAGCTTACACCCATTTACTAAAAGCAACCTTAGTCATTTGGGAACACTCATAAAATCAATATTTGCAGAGCATTTGAAGGGCTTCAGACCAGTTACATTAAGCATGAGCCCACCCTCACACACTCAAATGACCAGTGTGTATCCATGCAGTTAATCATTAACTGGGACTTTCAGTCTGACACGCACAGCAAAAACGAAAATCTCTGCAAGTGTATTTGTCTGACTTCTAGTCAAAAAAATCTTACTACACTTATTATTGTCGCATTCAACAGACATGTTCAGATTAACATCTATTTGAAGATGTAAAAAACAAAAATGATGGCCTGAATTGCTTGTAAGAAGTAAAATAAGCTGTCAGATGTTCTTTCAATTAAAAATTAGTTGGTATATCTACTTTCAAGACACTTAAAAAGTAACTTGTGCTTGCTGCCTCGGTAGATATTTTAACATTTTATAAGCAAATCTGTAATATATTCGATTTTTCAAATCAATATATTGCCATCTTGAAATAAGATGTTTATCCTGACTTGTCATGTGAATGTGCCTTAAAATAAGTGTGTTGGCATATTTTTTACAAATACACTTCCTAAGACTTAGGTTTTTGTTTTGTTTCAAGAAGAAACAACACTGACACATGTTGCAATGAAGGAGATGGACACATACGTCTAACAAACATTGTGTTTGTGTGACTTTTCTCACCGTGTCTGAAAGCTGAGGTTTGAGGTCCACCTTGAGAAAGCGGAATGCCAATACTGGAACTATGCATATTGCTGTTGCCAGTGCAATAGTTAACCACACGACCGGTTGCAATAACGTGCTCTGGGCACTACCTGTCAACACAAACATACATGACACATACATAACATGAGCAAATGTGTTTGAGGAACCTGTAGTATTTCAGGGAACACAGACTTTTGAAAGCTGGGGACGACAATAAAAAAAATGTGATTTACGCTAACCAGTTTCCTGATTTAAGAGAATGTGCAAGCCACTTGTTGACAAATGTGTCTAAACATGTTTATGAGCAATTATTGGCAACATTTAATTTATGGCATACACATTTTTTACTGGAGAGCAGTCATGTCATGTTTTTATGCTGGCCTTTTCATGGGTATCAAACATAAATATCCTTGATTGAACCTTAATATATTTTTATTATGCCTACTTTAATGGTAAGAAAGTAATTAATGTTTTTTTTAATTAAATGATGTTATTTTTTTATTTTTTAACGCATTATCAATACAATATGCAATATCACTCTTCTTATGCTTTTGAAACAAAGAAAATAATATAACTTTTCATCAAAACCTGACCTGTATTATTTCACTTATTTTATTACTTTCTTTGTTATTCTTTTGGGCACTTCTGTCAGTGTTTCCCCTTTTACAGTTTAAACTTATTACTGTTTTGACTCTTATGTCATTTGTAATCTTTCAGCAATCTCCAACAACATTCATTTCTTCAGATAAAGTTGTCGTCTAATCTTGTAGCACATGTAGAGCTAGAAAATAGGTATTTTTCAGATTTTCTTCTACCCTGAAATGTCAGCTACAAAATTGCAACAGCAGTATAGCTTGAGAGAGTGTGTGTGTCTGTCTGTGTGTGTGCGTCAGTGTGTGTGTGTGTGTGTGTGTGTGTGTGGCAAGACAAACACAGAGAAGGCAGGCGACCGACCTACAAAGTGGAACTGGTTGGGAAAGATCCTGAAGAGGGTCTGACTGTGCAGAGCGATCATGATGGCGAAGTAGCAGCCCAGAGAGCCCCACACAAACACGTGGTTAATAACCGTCCAGAAGCCTGTGTCAAGAGCGATCTTCACGATCACACACAGATACACGTTCAAAAAAACAGCAGAGGTGCACAGTTAATACATGATGTTGACACAAGAATCAATTAATTATAAAGGATCCTAGCTGTGAGCATAGCAAACACAATTCAGCCATCACTCACTTGTACACTGACCACAATGACCAGAGCTGTTGCCGTAGTAACTGCAAACGTCTGGTAGTCAGCAAGGGGAACTCCAGTACTCTGAGTGGCATCAGACAGAACAGCACAGGGAACAAAAAACAGTACCACTGATGTGTAGATGCCCTGGGCGATGCATATGAAGAACTCTCTCTTGTTGAAAAGGAGGTTAAGCTGACCAGGCTCATACAGCTTTGGATACTCCAGACTCCTCTGGTCAGGAACATCCTGCAGCAAGAAAGAAAGTGAGGAGCTGCAACTACTCTAATAAAAACACACAATTATATTGTGTTCTTAACTAAAGAAATAACACATTTTCCTTATAGTCATCTAGGTAGGGTAACAGTCACCCAGAATTGATAAAGTTACACAAAAATGTCTGTTGTCTACTAATTGATGTGTGTTATATATTTTATTTGTTGTTGCTTTTTGTTGCTTAGCTAGTTAACTGTAATCTTAGATTTTATTTTGAAAGCTTAGGCCTTGGATAATTGATAAAGTCTAAAACAAAAATTCCCCCTCAAAAGTAGCTTAATTGCTTTTTTTTTTTTTCAAAAATAGTGAAATTTAAAAGCAAACACATTACATTTCTAAATAAAAAAGAAAGACAAAGTATTAAAAGCTATAAAATATCCCAAAACAATGTTTTTTGTTTTTTTAAGTCACAACAAAAAATAGCATTTTAATAAACATTAAACCTTGCATTCAGAGAATATCTCTGAACTTTCTTTCTCAGGATAATACCAGTCCTCTGTACTTTTCATTTCCAGGGTACCTAGCTCGGAGCCGCTGCTTAGCTAACTGTGTGCGGCTGTGCGGGAACTCCATGGTGCTGAATGATAACTATGCTAATGTTAACAGAAAGCTAATTCTATGACAAAAACACTGCCAAAAGTTGATGTTGGGCAGGAATATTATTTTCCTTTTTAGTTAGCATGTGAGCATGCTACTGTTGGTGATTAGCATAAAGTACAGCGAAGACTGGTGCCAAAGCCATTGGTCTGTAGGTAGTTACTTGCAAATCATTATAATGATGCAGATGGACAGCTAAGCCATCATCAGTTGTTTTAAATGATCATAAATAACACAACAAGTTTTTGATAAATTCAAGAGGTTAATCAAATGTATTGAGAGAACAAAGCATTCAATGTGAGCGCTATACATAGTTATAAACTAAACAGACCTGGTCAAATATCCCCATGGCCAGCACAGGGAGGGAGGTGTAGACAATGTTGTAGAGGGTGATGAAGTATTGATCATACACTGTCTAAAAGAAAAAACACAGACAATGTGAAAATCATGATTACACTTTTTCTCCTGACTGGTAATGCAAAAAGGTCCTTGTGAGCTCTACTGTCTGACCTGTGCAGAAAAGCCACAGAAGAAGCCAAACCAGAAGTGCACCATGGTGAAGGCAAAGTTCTTGTAGAAGAAGTAGCAGAGGAAACGGCACATACGCAGGTAGGACCAGCGTCCATGTACCAGCAGGAGGCGCTGTAGGAAGCGAAACTGGGAGAAGGAGTAGTCACTGGCCAGCACAGCCTGGATCCCCTCCTGACCTGAGATACCAACTCCTATATGAGCACCTGGAAGAGGTTTAAAAAGAGGACAGAAGACAGAAGAGAGACAAAAAGTCAGTAATGGAATCTGACTCCTGAAATTGTCTCTGCACAATGGAGAAAGCATTTTAAACTCGTAGAAGGAATAGTACCGTATTGTGAAATGGTTCCTATAGAAAGTGTCTAAAAATCTATTTTTAACAGATAATTAGATTAATCAACAAACAGCTAACTTTAGCTGTTTGTTGATTACCATACAGATAAGAACAACATCTATCTTCCTACAGTTCTAAGTAAGTAAGTAAGCATGTTGGTGTATTTCCCAAAACCTGTATTGTGTAGCCAGTCACAGCTTTTTTGTTCTTAAACTTTGGAACATCCCCCAGAAGAAAAAATAAACTTTTGTGGTTTGAACAAGATGTCTCTGCACAGCATGATGAAGTTAACTGAGTGGCCAGTGGAGTACACGCCAAATAGAGGAAACCAGTTCCCTACTATATTAAGACATCTCTTTTCTGCAAAAACACATTTCCTCACAGCTTTCATCACTACCAATAACACCATGTATATAATAACAACTTCCACCACGACACTTCTGCTGAGAATCTAATTCTGGTTGGTGGACACAGGAACCAACCTTACTAAAACCACTGTTATCCTTTCCTACTTAACCATGATCCAGTTACACTTCCTCCTTCTCTCCGGCACCATCCGCCATGTACAGGCTGCCTGCACGACTCACTTTTTATCATGCTAACATCGTTAGCTCCATCTCCGATGGCCAGGGTGACGGCCTTCTTGTGCTTCTTGATGAGCTCCACCACCTGAGCTTTTTGCAGCGGGGTGACCCTGCAGCAGATTACCGCTTTGCACGCACACGCCGTCAACACAAACTCTGTCTCCATGTCTGCTTCTAGAGCATGGGCCTATCAGAGAACGGGAGAAAGAATCAATAAGTTTAAGGCTCAACGCAAATGGATTAGTGTTGCAATGTGGAAGTGACATACTTTGAGAAAAGGAGTTTGTTTTGTTGATTCCATCTAACACACCTGGCAGCTCATTATTTCCTGACAGTTGGCAGTTTAATTCTTGACAGCCCTTGCTAGTTTTATAAATGTGTACAGAGTGTGTTATTTATACCAGGCTGTGGCCGTTGATCACGATGGCAAACTCTCCAGAGATGCTGTCCATGAGGTCTGAGGGAGGTGGAGGAGCAGGAGGAGGAGGAGTAGGGCACTGCAGCTGCTTAACTCCTTCTTCTCTTCCCATACCGTCTCCTTCTTGTCCTTCTCTGAACCCGTTACCTGTGCAACAAGCCTCTCCCCATCCCTCCACCCCCTCCTCTTTCCCTCCATCTCTGGTTCTCGACAGCTGGATCATCCGTTCCCTGGCTCTCCTTCAGAGAAAGACAAACAAACTCGACATCAGCTGGGTTTTTCTACTGCCCAAAGACAGAATCAAAACACAACATGAATATAAAGATGTGAAGGGGAGAGACAAAGAGGAATCACGTGGACGGAAAAAGGACACAACCTAGAAAACAAATCAAACAAAAGAAAAGAATGGGTAGGGAAACTGGAAAAAAAAAAGCGGAAAATGTTGGAACAATAAGGAAGGAAAGTGAGTTGTGCTCAGACTCTGATGGTTTTACAGATATTTAATATGTCTTACCTCCAAGTACCCCAAAAAATCATTAAAAAAAAAAAAAGATATCAATGGCTTCAAAATTTGGCAACAGGGCAATGCTTTGGTTTTTACACTGGATATGTTTAGGCTTCTGACAGCTGAATGATAAACCTTTGTTACTATGAGGCACATTTTATTTTTTATCTTGATGTCTTCTTTACTTTTAGTTTTTTGTGGAAGTTATCGTCCTCTGAGCAGGCGGTCCCGGTTAGACTCTGACCTGTGGCTCCTTTCTCACATGTCATTCCCACTCTCTCATTCCTGTTTCCGACTCTATCCACTGTCCTATCAATTAAGGAATAATAACCTTAAAATTAAACTTTAAAAAGAAATGCTTCAATCCTTTTGAAATATCATGAGTGTGCTGTGGTGTGTGGTGTCCTTTTTGTAACACTATGAGCTCAAGATCAGTTTGAGAAAGCCTTTGTTGTCATGGAAAAACCCAACTCACTCAGCTATACACTCTTTTGCAATTAGCACAAGTTGCAGAAAGTGTATTATGCCATCTTTAAGACATGAAAGATTTGAAGAGACATGCTTAAGGATATACTTTGTGATGTATCAGTCTTTATCAAAGAAAGGATTATGCAGAATGTTGAATTTGTTAAATCTCAACACAAGGCTTGACATATGCTGGTTTAGTCTAGAGATGGTAACTCTATACTCCTGTAAAGAAATTATAAAGTTTAAGAGTCAGTGAAAAACAGTTATAAAGTGACAATTTTGGAGGAGACTTGACATTTGTAGGGAAGCGCATTTAGATACTTCTGAGTACAGCAGTACCAGCTCAGGAGCCCCTTCACTCTGACATCTCTCCATTAGTGCATGTCCATAGGGACATGTTTGTGCATGTGTGTGTGGCATGTCTGAAATTGTAAAAGTATGAAATTGGATTAATAAAGTCTATCTTCTTCTTCTAAATGAGAGGTAGCAGAGTGTGGGGGCTGCACACAGGGTGTCTTGCTCAAGGACGCCTCTGCAGCACTCAGAAAGTAAACTGGCACCTCTCCAGCAACCAGACTAATTTCCATACATTTGTCCTCACCGGCACTTGAACCAGCAACTTTCCGGTTCCTGGTTCGAAACCCATGTCCCTACAGACTGAGCTACTGCCCCATAGTTGGAGACACCTGACAGCTGGAGAGGAAGATGGACTGACCTGAGCTCCTGCCGTACGCTCTGGACTGTGTGTCCGCTGATGATAAAAACCTCTGTCATATCATCTGTCAGCATCTTGCAGGAGTAACCAATGTTGACAGCCGTCTCTATGAGACAGAAAGACGGAGGGTTACTGGAGTACTCGAGTGGAGTTCAACATTTTTGATTAACTTATTGGAAATACAGATTTCACATGACCTCATGAAGGCCAGCCTTGTTAAACTGCCTGCATGTTTTAAGTATTAAAGGCTCTAACGTGCCAACACACTTTCACAGTAACAAAGCTGCCGGTGGCAAACTTGACTTGTTGATGATTGGCTACTTTAGATGTAAGTGTGATAACTAGATAAAGGAATATAACTACAATAATTGACTCTTTTCGGCTACTCAATGGTTTAAGTAAGAAGATCCACTGAGGACAACATAAATCGAAAATTTGCTGTCTGCCTGGTGTTGTTGGCCTCTCAAGTGACAGTAAATTGTACTATATATACAGTAGACACAAATGTTCTGAACTGTGCATACATGGCCACAGAACACTTCAATGTACAAACAGCTGTGTAGAAATAGAGTGTGTAAAAGAGTGTCTCTCACCTTGCTTGTCTCCAGTGAGTACCCAGATTTTAATATTAGCCAGAGAGAGAACAGCGATGGTCTCTGGGACGCCCTCCTGCAGCTTGTCCTCTATAGCTGTTGCACCCAGGAGCTTGACACACAATGAGACAGAGAGAAACAGAAATACACACACACACACACACACACACACACACACACACACACACACACACACACACACACACAAATAAAATGATTTAAAAAAAGCTTGAAATCAAAGAAGGGCACTAAAGCGTGTTTTAAAAGAAAAACTAACCACGAATCCCTTATCTAATAAACCATCAATGAACATCCAGCACTATGAAGATCTGATTTTGTTATTTGTCAACAGCCCCCTTACCTTTTCAATTAGAGTCTGCACCATTAAAAACAAGGCTTAAAGAAAAACAAAGTGGGATCTGTTGCACCGTCTGACCTTTTGTAGGACCTTTATAATTGACTCACATGTCATAAAGTCAGAAAAAAATCTGTGTGGCAGTTTGATGTCTTTAAAATTATATTAAAGTTATTAAATTGTATCACTTTATTAGGATACTGTTTGATTACATTTGACTGCATTGTATACATTTATAATGCATGAAAGTCATGACATTATATTAGACTACAATATATTTAAATGTATTTTAACCGATAATATCGGCCGACATCAGCATATCAAATGACTATCTGTATTGGCCATTTTTATCGTAGATATGCGCCGAAATTACTAGATTTATTCACCAGTCAGAAATCATTTCATTTTGGTTTCACTGTATTACACTGCCAGTTCTCTTTCTGGCTGTCACCAGCAGAGTGTGCTATCTCGATTACAACAAGCTTTATCACTCTTCAAAGTGTCAAGCAGTGAGGCACAAACAATGCGCAGTTTAGTGACCATATTGTCATTATCATATATCTTTTTCACAAGTGTATGATAACTGCATTTGAGGGATCAACATTTTAAATGTGTATTTCTATCTCTACAGATCGAACATAGATTAAAAAAAAAATCGGCCCGATAGGTCAGATATTTTCTCTTCCTAATATCAATATCTTAGAATGGGCACACAATTCCATATCAGTCAGGCCCTACTACTTAGATTACATTATTTTAATTTGATTAAATTGAATAGACTCAAATGGATGGAATATACTGTTATAATACATTTGATAGTATTCACACATTATATTCAAGTACAATGAAATGTTTTCCAATTAATATAGACATACTACATTGTACTCAATTACGTTCATGACATGACATCAAATGAGGTTTTTATCACATCAAACTAGATTATATTAGTTTAAAGCAATTACATATTAAATAAGATAAATAATAATATAAATATTCATTAGATAAGATAACATTACATTTAAGATTAAAGTTATTTTATGAACTCAAACTTAGTATAAAGAACATTAAATCATTACCTTACAATAAGTAAATTACGTTACTTTATTTTGGATTAATTTACATTAATCCCAGTTATTACAGTAGGCCACATTACACTAAATTCAAGCTTTTAGAAGCTGAGGCATCTAATTAAACTTTAAATCTTAAAATTCAAGTTTCTATTTCTATTTCAGGTACAGAGCCTCCATAAACTGTATGTCAAACATAAGGCTTCAAAGGCAGAACAAAGATTATAAAAATCAGACACTGAAAGCACACCTGGTCGATATAAACACAGACACACAGTTGCACAGTGTCACTGACCATCATGTCTTGTTCTATCGCTTCATAAGTGGCAGCCAGTCTGTCCTCTCTGCAGTTGGTGGCCTTGTCAGCACAGCGGTGGCTCTCTGACCACATCTCCCAGTCGTCCTCTGACAGATCTCTGTATGCCAGAGCCAGGGTCCGCAATCCATCCGATGCATATTCCTGTCAGAAAACACACTTATTTATTTCATACAAAAACATGAGGATACACATGAGGAGATGTCCAACAGGTTAAATAGTCTTCATATATCCACAGTCATTGGGTCAGACATTAGATTGACTGGATCATGTGTTAGTGTCTGCCCCATGTCAAGAAATTAGTACACATGATCTGATGAGGAACAAGTACATGCTGAGTAAGGGCTTATCAGTACGTTTCACAACTGTTTTTTTGTACGTATGCAGACACTAGATGGCAGCACAGCTTCATCCATGCATCCAGGAGTTAGTGCTTGTGTTTGTTGACTCACATTGAGGTGGTCTGAGGTGATGTTCATCAGCTCCTGGTTACAGGGGTTGAGTCTCTCCAGCAGCACCGTGTCAGCTCCTTTACAGTACAGACGGATCCTGCCCTCTGGGTTACGCACTGAAAAGTCATAACAGAGTGTAATGAAGAGAAAACACTCAAATGGATTCACACAACTCTTTCAATATCTTCAAATATCAGGAATCCTCGTTCTCAGCTTCTACAAATATCACCTCTACACACAGTGGGTCTCACAGGCTGCATGAATGTGAGCTCGGTGCCTCTTAGTCTGGCTGCTCTGTTGCACTCTAGACCCAGGTTGTTGCTTGAGCAGCAGTGTTTTATGAACATGAATTTCTGGGAAGACTTCCAACACCTTACAAGAGAACCCATCACAGGAACACGTAGTGAAACACCACCGAGTAATTTAGTGCAATCCATAAAGGATCATTTATTCCTGTCAGTTTGTTGGAGTATGGGTCATTTTACAAGAATATATTTGCTTTCAGTGATGCTGTTCTCTGCTGCAACAAGCTTCTTATTACTGCAGCCAAAACTATAATAATGTAGTTTTACCTAGTTGGTAAGCCGTTTTCTTCTGATTTAACATTAACACAAAAGAGCTGAATTTATCCTCTCTGTAAATGAAACCAGTAAAATAAAAACAATAATCCTTGCACACCTATAACAGACATCCTCTTGCGAATGTTGTTGAAGTCCAGAATGGCGAGCAGCGTGTAGGTGACAGGTCGTCCCATTTCTGTGGTGGTTATTGTCCCAGGCGTTCTGGAGCGGAACACGAAGCCAAAGTTTCGAGCTGCTGTCACTAGAGCGCCCTCATCTGGAGACTGAGCCTTATAAATCAGCTCTCCTGAGTAAACGGATACAAAAATGTTGAAATATCCAACAATAATTTGAATTTGAATGTATTTATTTAATAAGGACAATGCAGTTTAACATAGTTTCAATACAACGCATGAAACTGATGTGCTGCATAAAGAGTATATAGCTATTGCTAATTTCCAACTCGTGTCCCCAGTTGGGCCTTTGTGTAAACAAAAACAATGAGTGACAAGTGGTGTGTTAGTGTCAGTGTTTGGCTGCTTTTCACCCTCCCAGATTGCCCTCTCCCTCCTTGTTCTTACCCTCGCTCTTCTCCTCGCTCATGACGGTGTGACAGAGAGAGAGCAGGCGGAAAAACTCGTGAGTGTGCGAGTCTCCCACTTTCACTGATTCCAGCAGGGTGTCGTCATAGAAACAGAAATCAGGGTCCGCCAGGGGGTTGAAGGGAGTAAAGTCCAATCTCTAAAGACAGAGTCAGGGGGGGCTCCATTAACTAAGAGTAATATATTTCACATTGAAGCACAAGTAAATGTGTTTTCCACAAATAAATAAATAAATACTACTTACCTTTGGTTGAGGTCTCAATGGGTCTGTCACTTCACCTAACACAAACAGATGTGTAAAATGTATGCTTATCAAAACGTATTAAAAAGAAATAATACTGCTAAGAAATAGTGCAGTACAGTGCAACACCTTATTTAAATATTACCTTCACTATGTAAAAAAAACAACAACAACAAAAAACTGCACAGTTTGTGTGTGCACTTACCGTAAGTCTGTCTGTTGATGGAGCACTTATTGAAGCTCATGATGTTCTGAGTTAGAGTACCGGTCTTATCACTGAAGATGTATTCAACCTGAGAAACAATTGAAAATGTAAACGAAATCTGAAATGACGCAGATAATGGGATGCATGTGAAACTATAATTAATCAAACATGTTGATGAGCGTATTTTCTTTAAGAAATAAGAAAAACTATTCCTTCTAAAAATGATTCCTTCCCTAATAAGAGAAAAAGGATATTTGCCTCATGACCTTTAGGAACACTTATTTATTTGTGCCTCATTTAAATTACTTGCAGTCTGCAGGTATTTTACGTACCGTACTTCACTTTCATGCATTAAAATACTAGAAATGCATTTGTGAAGGAATTTTAAGATAGCTTGGCTGATCATCAGAAGCCTCAGAAACAGATGTTTGTATTCTAAGTGTGGATGCCCACCTGACCAAGCTCCTCGTTCAGAGTGGTGGTCCTGGCCTCAGCTGCTGTGTTGCACTGTGAGCAGAACATCTGCTGGTCCCAGTTGATGAAGTAGCTGTGACCCAGCCTGATCACCTCCACACTGATACACAGACAGGTGAAACAGGGACATGGTTACAGTAACAGTGGAGTTAAACCCATCTAAATTAGTACGGATAAATGTTTTCTTTACAAAAGACAGACCTCAGCAAACAGACGGTTCTCATCAGCTAGTTCTTCAGGTTAAGCTTATGTTACACACAGAGCTATTAGTCACACACCCATGTGTTTGTCAGAGAATAATGAGAGTAGAAAGGGAACTTTAACATTCACTGTGTCTCCAGATCGTATCTAAAAACTATGGAATATGCTGACATAGACCAGGAAGAGAGCACACATCACATTGCTTTTAAAGTCTCTGCATTGGCTACCTGTATGTTTAAGAATCGATTTGAAGATTCTTTGATTTTTAAACCTCTTAATGGTCTCTGATTGAATTTTATATTATGATCCCAGTAGAGCCCTCAGGTAGAAGGAAGTAGTCTTTTATTTGTGCAGAAAGTCTGTAAGACTCTGGCCTCTGTCTGTAAACAGTTACCTGATGACCTGAGGACCTCACACATCAGTTCATCAGTTTTTGTTCATGATTGGGTTTTTTGTGTCTGTCTGTTAGTCTTAGACATTTGCTCACCTGACATACAGAGAGATGGGCACCACAGTGTTCAGAATGATGACGTAGGACCAGAAGGAGAGGAAGGCAGAGAACAGGAAGTTGTCCACAGGGGGGTCCCAGGGCAGATAGCTCTGAAAGAGAGAGCCCACCTCTCTCTCCCACACTGCGTTCCCAACAGCCAGGATCACACCCATACACACCAGGAATCCAAAGATCTGTCACAAACATACAGATTAAGAATCATCATAGACGGAAAAACTGTATGTTTAGTCAGATATGTCATACACTTGGATCTTTGGTCAGTTGAGGAAGCCACATTTGGAAGGAATGTGTTATCAAAGGAGAAATATGAGAATGAAGGGGCTGAGATCATGTCCTGAAATAGTGACTGTATGAGCCATGAAAGTGAGAGGTTTGGGGTTTCCTACCCAGAGGACCAGAGTGTTCATCAGACGATCGATACTGGTGCGCTTAAACTTGGTGCGGCCGCTGTTCTGCATGAGCTTGGTATCAGGGCCTAAAGCGAAAAAGAAGAAGATAAGTGTCTAATATACTCATCACAAACACACTCTTATACATAAAATGTACGCAGACACACAGACCTGCAAAGATGACCAGGCCGTAGCAGGCCTCTGTGTTGCGGAGGACACATCCTCGGAGCAGCATGTTCTGGTTGGTCAGAGTGTATTTCTTGTCCCTCCAGTACAAAGTCCCACAGAAACGATCCAGCTTGTTGTTGGGGGGTTCACACACTACCTCACCTTCACACACACACAAACACACATAATGACACGTATTGGATTTTATGCCCTTGATTTTGAAGAGTAAAATGAATCATCCCTTTGACATCATGCCGTTATTGCACACTTTAACACAAACCCAAAGACAGAAACACACACCTTTTGTAAGTTGATATGTGGCAACGTGTGAGTTGATTTGCTGCAGTGAAGCATTTTTCAGAGCAGGTGAGGTGTGTGTCCGTGTGTGTCTGTGTGTGTCTGTGTGTGGGTGCACTGTGCTGACACAGAGGTCTTTCTTTGTGTGTACAAGTGGGCGGGTGATAAAAGGTTGTCATTCAATGCCGGCAGGAGAGGGCAGAAATGTGTGTTTGTGTGTGGGCATGCTTAGTGTGTGGAATGGGTTCATATGCAAGGGTGTGAAGGTTGAATGAGTTGTCTTTATATTATTCTGAACATGAACAGTCAAACAAGGAATCAAGGGTAGAACCGTTTTGCAAATCTCACCATTAAAGGAAGCCAGGTTGTTCTGGTCTCCGAGTTCAGATGTCACTGAGACAGACTGCCGCACTTCATATTAGTCTCTCTGCAAGATAATAAAACACACAGCAGTTTAGACCCAAGTGTCCTGTTGCTTCTGCAGATGAGGAGGCACTCTGACTTGATGGAAAGGTGCGGTGTGTTTTCTGACCCGTCAAGCTCGGCTGTCTCGATGTAACAGAGCCCGTGAGGTTCAGAGCTGGACAAGAGGAGCAGGTCAGCCTGAAAATAGATACAAAATGCAGATGTAAGTATAGCAAAGGTGGCACAGGGGCAGAATTAGTAAGGCCTACATGATGAGGATTTAAGTATCAGAGTGGTGCAGTAATCAACGACGGCAGTAAGTGTTTCTTAATAAGAACTGATATCCAATTAGCATTTTAGCATTTAGTCGCCATGCTGGTGGAAAATCTTAAGTTGCAGGCTGAACCAGAACAGTGTAAGTTTACGTGTGTGTCTGTATGTGATTGTGTGTTTGTTCATGTGTGGAGACGTTAACGTTGTCAAACACTTACTGCAACAAACTGGTTGTTTTCCAGTTTTATGATATCGCCCACTCGAACGTTCATCCACTTTTCGTTCTGAAGCCTGACAGATAAAGGTCAAGAGAGGCAAGGGTGGAAGAAGTGTAGATTTAAGGAATCTTGTTAGGAAAACTGACAAAAAAAACATGATGGTCATTGTTAGCAATTAGACCACTTAGTTTAGTTAGCTTCCCCCTAGTTGTAATCAAAAGACTCACGAGCCACGGATGAGGACCTGAGACTGGCGGTTGTTCACTTGGTTGTCGCTGTTATGGCGAAACTGCAAGAGACAAAGATGACTGTGAACTTTGCAAGGTGAGTCAAGTCGACCATATTCAAGAGACCGCTTTGTTATTTTCAAGAGAGTACTGTACAGAGTGTGGTGTGTAAAAAAACATACTCACATAGTCGTCTGTGGCATCCTTTACTGCGGTGATGCTCAGCACCAGAGCTAAAGGCACAATGGTAGTGAACCAGGAGAGGGAGGAGATCTGAGGTATTAACTAGAAAGAAACAGCCAGAAAGTAATTTCAAGGTTAATTTCAAGTGGGGCACAAGGGCAGTGTGTCATTGTGGGATGAGACGGCTACATCTGACACTACATACAAAGAAAACCAATGAGCACAATAAGGACACAATTGTAAAATCACACAATCACTACAGCTCGGTTGTTTAGAGATGTAAACCAGCTCTTCTTCTTGTTTCACAAACACACACGAAGGCGCACAGATTTCCTCTCTCCACCTTCGTTCCATATTTGAATCCCTTGTTCATCTTACCTGCAGTATGAGCAGGAAAAGAAAGTAGGTGTTGGCTACTTCCTGGAACTGCTCGAACAAGTTGACGGGCAGAAAGGTGATGATGTTGTACTTAGATGTCATGATGCAGTTACTCTGGATAAGGAAGAAGGAAGGAGACGTTAAACTATACAAACTCACAATAATTGAAAAGATTTGTTCCTTCATTTTCGACGCAGTCCATGTGAACATTTACAGAATGCTTACTGCATATTGAAATTTGTCGTTGTACTCTCTGTCGTTGGCTCTGACCCTTCGCTCCTCCTCTGCAGAATAACACAAAAGATCAAATGTATCATTTGGTTACGATGGCACAACAAAGCTACAGAAAGCACACAGATCACTACATGTGAAGAAGATCAGTTATTTGTGATCAGAGTGGATTTCAGGGACAGAGATAAAGAGTGAAGGGAGGCAGACAGAAGAGAGTCCATGATTTGAGCATTTATTCATAAATCAATGAATTGAGGATGTCTGCTGGAGGTTGTTAGAGTATTATCAGTGAAGTCAGAGTGTGACACAACTATCTGTCTCAAATACGTACACACAGGAACTAATAAGAGAACCACTATCATCTGACCTTCAATCAGCGGATGCCTCTTAATGGATGTGCATTCTGGGCCAGGCACACAACATATTATGTCTAACAGCAAAAAAAAGGAGCACACTCAAACAGAAACAAATCTTCAGGTGCATGACCGTTAAAAGACGAGAAAACAGAAAAGTCAGCACACTCAATGTCTTTCAATGTTTTATAACCTATGTAGAGCAGCAGCGTACAGATCAACAATGGACAAAGCACAAAGTCTTCATCTGCTTTGATCTACTCTACCCTGATTATGAAACTTTAAAGGACATTGTGCGCGCTAACTTCTGTTTTCACACGTGTGTCCTCAAGTGAGTGTGTGTATGAATCAAGCGGACACAAGACGAGGCAGTTACAGATTTACACTCAATCTATAGAGAATAACAGGAAATGAGCGCCTTCTGACCCTGCTCTTTATCCTCCTCTCTGTTTTTTAGGTTTCTGTTCATGCTGATGCAGAGTAGATTGGGAGTTCCCCTCCTCCTCCTCCTCCTCCTCTACCTCCTCCTCTTCTCCTGTCTCCTCTAATATTGATGAGACGGCTCTTTAAATGAAATGACTGGCCTGTTTTGCACTCGTCCGTACATAGTTCACATGCACGCACACACCCACGGACATAAGATTCAGGCCCAAAGCATCTTTTCTGCAGAGAGCTGCTCTGTGCAGCTCTGACACCATTTGAGTCCCTCACATACTTTCGAACGATGAGGCAACGAGGCGCCACAGGATCGGACATCACACAACAGAGGCCATTGCCATTATTATCACACGCACGCACATAAACAAAGATCTGTGGTTTCCTGTGTTTCTGCACTGCTGTGAAGCCCCGTCTTCACTTTTTCATCTCTATCTTACAGGACATGTTTCTCTCTGCTGTGTTCAGCTCCACCAAATGATCACAGTGCCCTTTAAGAGATCCCACAAGAGCTCTGCTTTGTTGTCAAGTAATAAGACAGATTTAGTGCAGCAGATGAGCTCCAGATGAGTTACAGATGAGCTTGGCTGATGTCAAAAGAGGATTTAGTATTTAGAAAAGGTATAATGTTTACAATCTCTACCTTTGTTCTCCATTGTAAGTTGCTAAATGATGCTGAAAGCTTAAGAGAGTAACCATATATGTAATAGAATTAACATTATTTGGCAACATCGTCTATCAATGAATATAATGTATTCTGTCATTTCAGACAAATATGATGTAGTTAGATCAAGATAGGTTTATAATTATTCATGTGATAAGCCAGATCCAGATATAGAAATCATTAAGAAAACAATATTAGCCTAAGGCAGCTTACTGATACAAGGAAATTCCTATATAAATAAACCATACTAAACAGACAGCGCCTACTGTATGTGACAAAAATGAATGAAATTTGTCTTGTATATATATATCACCCCAGCCCATGTACCAGTTATCATCCAAAATATGTCGAACTGACTAAAAACGTCTGATCACAGCAGTACTGTCTAAAAGTACTTTAACAGCTGATTTATCCCCTACCTGTGTTTTTTAACTGTAACCTCAGTCAATGCATTGTAAACAGAGTAAACTGTCTGTGATTAAAAGCCCCTATATGTCAAAAGTGAATGATGAATGCACTTCAGCTTGTAAAGCACTTTTCTAGTCTTCTGACTTCTCAAAGCGCTTTTTCCACCGCAGGTCACACTGGCCCCATTCACACGCTGATGGCAGAGGCTGCAGTGTAAAGAGTCCATCAGTATTAACTAATCCCATTCATACACATTCACACGCAACAGCAGGAGCAACTTGGGCTTATGAGTCTTGCCACATCAACATGTTTCTGCAGGAGCTGGGGATTGAACCCTCGACCTTCTGCTTTGAGAGATGACCGACTCTACTACTGAGCCACAGCCGCTCCAGATCATGCTTTCCAAAGTAATTAAATTGTTCAATTACAGGCTTCAAATAACTATAAGTGCAGAACACATGTATAAGGCAGTTTCAGTGGCAAGATCATAAAAACAGTAACTGTCCCAGGCTAAAACAGAAGTTCCTGGTTTTTTTTACGAGGGCAGTTACTGATTTCCCTGTACAAAAGAAACATTTCTAAAGAAGAAGAATATTTGTTCCAGCTACCACATGCTATCTTATCTATAAAGACAGCAACGTTGATATGCCAGCCTTTTACTGTAGTTTCCATTGAGTTTTTATTTAAATGTTATTGTAACAATATCTGTAATTGTTTTTTAGGCCAAATTTGTCCCTTTGCATGCAAATAGAATTTCCTATTTCTTTAGGGGATTAAATTAGGGCATGTTACAGTCGTCGTCAGATTTGCATCATTTAAGAGTCGAGCTCTTTTGATTTCATTTGATATCTCCTCTCTTCTGATCTCTGTTTGCTCAGACAATATCAGATTATGTAGGTACACGTCATCCTCCATCCAGTTGAAGCTCTTGTAGTCTTGTCCCCCCTTCACTCATTTTCCCACTGGCACTTATCCCATCTACCTGAAGGTCGTTATTTTGCTTCCTGGAGCAGTGAGATCGGTCTGACAGGCTGTGCCAAATCTGCAAACCCTCCGTGAAGAGATGCCTGTGCCAGCTAAGCGCAAAGACGCTGAGGCTTCCAAGCATCTGGTGTCAGGAGCCGGTGGTGTCTGTCCCTGCTGCTTCTATGCACGTTGACCATCCTGAATGCATGAGCATCTTTAACAAACTGCCCATTAAGTGTTTAATGTGCCTGACAGCTTCAAGGGCATTAGAAGCCCTGACGCAGACTAGATGCTGCACAGCAAGACTGCATAAATCTATATAAGCTCCATTACTGAAAGACTTTCAGGTGTGAGCTTACTTTGCTGCAGATTTTAAAAGATTTACACAAACAACTGAGACATAAAATATCGATTCAAATTAAAGCACTTAGTATGATGCTATATAACGAAAAAAGACTACTAAAGAACTTTCTTTTATCCAACCCCTGTCTAACATCCCCTCTAACCCCCCCCCCCCCCCCCAAATTGACATGTGAGTGCACGTGCCACTGCCCCCTTGTTTCTTCACAAGTGACGCACTCTCTAGAAACACGGTGAACACAGACTGAAGTCATAACAAAAATGACCAAAGAGAATAGAAAGACTTAATTATGGGAACTGCTTTTATTCCTGCCATGACTACAGCTAAGTCATGATCACCCACTGCAGCTGACTTAATTAAACGATGATGGGCTCGTCGTCATGCGCTTGCACACACACACACACACACACACACACACACACACACACACACACACACACACACACACACAATTTTCACTAAATGTTCTAATTTGTTGAAAAAGGATGAGTGAGTGACACAGTGACAGACCGGCAGGCTGGAGGTCATATGAAGGTGTGCATGCAGAGTGATTGGAGGTAGTTAAGGAATAAGGATTCAGATGAGGCAGTGCAGTGGCAGCGGAGGCGCCTGCAAGATTGATCAGTGTCTCTAACTGCAGTGACAAGGACATCATCCTACTTGTTTACACAAAATCTAAATTCTGATTCAGACAAACTAATCTTTCCCAGTCTTAGACAGAGATTCATCCAATGACTTTGAGTCACATAAGTAATATTATATCCTAATGCAAACTTAACAGATAAATGAAGTATGAAGAATGACAATAATATTGTTATTTTCTTGTTATTAAATCTAAAATACTTAGCAGATGTTGGATAATGGTGACTAATAAACAGAAACACTTAATGATGAATAGATTTGCAGATAAAAAAGATGCAGAACAAAAAGAGCCAATTAAGTCGTATTGATGTGGTGTACATAGGCTACATGTAGTGGCATAGTTTAAGCAGGATATGAGAATGTATCAAATGGGGATGCAGGATGAGGAATGAAACTTGCAACTCAGTCTGGATGGGGATGAAAATGATTTTCTTTTTCGAAATAACAACTGCGATGCTGATTGTCTCATCAACAACCTCCTGATGACGGATTTTACTCTTTAGCCTCACTGATCACACAGACTCGTACCTGTCCGGCTCTTTTTCGCTTTGGCAACCAGTCCTTTCTTTTTCTTGCTTTGCAGGGGGAGAAAGAGTGAGAACCATTTCTCCGGGATGTCTTTCGGTACTGTCATCTTGACTTTTCAAACAGTCACCGTCTGAGCTCTGGTTAAATGTTCGCTGTTTTCAATGACAGATGATTGCCGCATTTCCGCGTCAATGATGCTACAGTCTCAACTTCACACTGAAGTTGGAGTGAGCTCGTCCTGTCCCATTCCTGCCGCTATGTTGCTGCTTTTCTTGCCTTCCCACACACACACACACACACACACACACACACACACACATGCGCAATCACACAGACTCGGCGCCCCCCCCTCCTTTTCTCTCTCTTTTGCTGCAGAAACACTGAGGTCATTCTTTATCATAAGGTCAGTCAACAACTGCACAGTAAGTCTGTCGATAGAGACATACTCGGACTGCTTCATATTATATAAATTGCCACATAAAGAGCAGACTTATTGTTAATATTGCGTGAACGTGCTTCGTCCACTCGAGCATAATCAATCAATCAAGTGACGTGCACGTGCAATGTCTGCAGCATCCTCAAAATAAACACTGTCCACTCCAGGCATGACGTAACCACAAACAGACTCTAGGGTTGATGGTGGTTGTCATGGCAACCACCTCTGCAGGGATTCCACAGCTGAGCGACAGGGTGGGTGAGGAAACTGTGGCGCCATTTTGGATCTACAAAGCGTTTTTAAAGCCGGGATGGTCCGTGCAGCTGCCCAGTATCCTGCGCGTGCAAGAGGAGAAGGTGCATCAGCACGTGCTGCGCGGCAGCCTCGTGCCGGTACATTATAGATTGCTGACCGCACACTTTAACCTACAAACACATGCACACGTTTGCTAATTCATTCTCTTATCATGGAATTTAAGAACATAAAGCCGACAAAATGCACTGCTGGTGATTAGCACCTTGCATGAGCACCCTGACAGGTATGGATGAACACATTCACTGCAACTAAACTAGGCTACAACCCTATAGCCTATCTAAAACCTCAAATGAATTAGGCTACTTTAATTGGTTGTACTTAATCACGTTAAGACTATTGACAGTGTCTGGAATTGGTGTTTTAATTAACATAGGCTACCTGAGGTAGACTTATGTAAATATGAAAGTAACACTAGTCCTCAAGTGCGAAAAAACAACACAAATCAATGCCACAACACACTAAAGTGTGTGTGGACCAGCCCAACACAGTCAAGTTAAAAAAAAGGTTTTTTTTAAGCAATGAAGACAGCACAGAACATCACATTACATCAAACACACTACTTAAACACTATATTCAAACAATAGGTGTATGTCCCCTGTTATTTTAAAATAAGGCTTGTTTTCTGTATGCAAGGCATCCTTACCGGGATCTGATTTAGGTTTTAAAGTTTACCCTACTTCAACATATTCTTGTTTTTCAAGTTTCTTTCATGCCATCTGATGCATGTGAAACAGGGTTGACATTTACAAGTGTACAGTATTGTTTAGACTAATTCGTATTATAGAGTAACTAATTTACGGCATCCTGGGAGAACGAATCTTGCACGCAGTAAACACAATTCAATTCACTTAATTCTACAATTCATAAAGCAGACACTTTTATTTAAAGCAACATACATCCGAGAGTAAGAACAACATACAGTAAGCAAGGATCTAGAGAAACAACGTCAGTAACCGAACAGCTTTGCACAGAGTCTGATCGACACAGGTGCTGACAGGACGTACACAGAGGCAAAGCACTTTTTAAAAAAAGTAAAGGTGATACAGCATCAAAACCATTCTAAATATAGCCATCATCAATATCATGATCAATATCAACATCAACATCAGCCTCATCAATATCATTTAGTGTGTAGGTGTTCATGAAAGAGCTGGGACTTTAGATTTTTCTTAAAGGTGCAAAGGGACTATGCAGATCAAATGGAGTTTGGTAATATATTCCACCAGCAGGGGGCGACATAGGTGAAGATTTTAGCTAGCTAGAGACTTAGGGCCCTGTTGTGAAGGTTAGATCCGAAACCATTCATTGGCATTCAAGGGGGACGGCTGTGGCTCAATTGGTAGAGTCGTTCGATCCCCAGCTGAGCAACATGTGTCCTTGGGCAAGGCACTTAACCCTGCATTGCTCCCGCTGCTTCGGTGGCGGAATGGATTAGTGTTGTACTTACTCTCTGATGTACGTCGCTTTGGATAAAAGCGTCTGTTAAGTGAATTGTGTAACATTGGCAGAGCTTAGAGGGCAGGAGGGACTGTAGACCTGGATGAGAGACTTTGGGTAAAGAGGAGTGGTTTTTGAGTAGCATGGTGTTAAATATGAGACACAATATGATCCGAGCAGTACCTATAGGAGCCAGTGCAGGAAGATGAACAGCAAAGTGACATGTGCTGTTTTGAGTAGGTTGAAAACCAGAACACTCACTCAGGCTCTTGATCATTAAGGCTTGAAAATACCGACATTATTTTAACCTGCCCAAGTTAAACAACAATGTATGCAACAGTGAGTAGTCGTCAATATGAATAACATTTTCTGCATTAAATTCACATTCTACAAAGATTTATGAACAGATCCATTATTAACACTCTCTTCATCCCTTAAATTGTTTAATGTAACTCATATGAATTCAACAAATTCAAGAAACATAAACGTTTACTGCTTCAATCTCTTCCTCTGCATTCTCCCAGACTCCTGAAAGAATTTATGCATTTCCCGACAAATAACGGAGATCAGTGACTATTTCATTCGGCTTTTGCTTTCAGTCTCTTACCTGTCTGCTTCTCTCTTTCTCACCTGGGTAATCTTGCTTTATAACCTTTAATTATCAATATGCATTTACCTATAATAGTTTCTGCCAAGTGATTCATCTCACTGCAGGTCAAACTTTTTAATCACACACTCACTAAGTTTTTATCATAGCAGTGTCCCAGTGTAACCAAAGAATATTATATTATATTGTATTAATATTTATCCGTACCATACTCCCCACCCCTCGGGAGCAAGAGAGAGAGAGAGAATCAAATATCTTTGAGAGGACTGGCCTGTCACCCATCAGGGCATAAGAATTTAAACGATATTGCAAGCTTGGCGGCCGACAGCTGTCCTGGCTTTTTCAGTCATTGTCCAGTTTGTCTAAAAGGCCAGTCGGCCCTCGTTCTACTGCCTAACCCACCTTACTCGCCAAGTCCTTGCTTTTCTGTAAATAACATTCATAAAAGTACCTTTTAACCTACTCAATATAGGAATTTTTAGGATAACATTTCTGATTTGATATTGAAATAAATAAATAAATTGACTTGACTTATTTAATTAGAACCGAGGCCTTGGCGCCAATGACACCTTGGAAGTTGTTTATTGTGTTACTTGTTTACTATGAGTGAGTTTAGTGTCAGACACTGACCTGGAGGAGGCCTCTTTCTGAACATCTCCACTCTGCTGGTGTCCTCTTGCTGCTTTGGCCCATGAGATTGTCTGTAGAGGAAAAGACGAGGAACCTTTGGGCTGATAAGGGGACATAGGAGAGAGGAAGGTAGAAGTGGTTATTAAAGACCAGGTGAGGTAAGGAACATACAAACATTTATATTTTCCTCTGGTACAAAGTGTCACAGAGAAAAGGCCCTGTCTTTTGTCTTCTGTCTCCCTGATTTCATGGTCATCTCTACATACACAGAGAGCAAGTTAAAATCAATCAGACACTAAATCCGCTACGCAACAGGACCCTCTTTGGTCTGTTCGAGCCATAATGAGGAAATGACATTTAGCAGAGCACTCTCTGTGGCACAATGTGTCTGAGGGGACTAGGCGTCTCAAGCAGATCCACTGTCAGTCCTCCCACAGCAAATGGGAAAATGTAATGGTGTTTTTAATCCTCCCCTCTCTTTCCCCTATACTCTCGTCTCCTCTTTCCATTTGTGCTGACCTGTTAATATCACACACCTCACTGCCTTCACCCTCTGTGTTTTGTCTAGGCTAAGTAACGGTGCAGAGAGGCTGTAATAGATGTGAGATGAGGTTGCAGAGGCGAGCCGTTATACATTTTTGTCTTGTATACTAGAAAGGACAAACAGCATGGCAGACGGGCTCAGGGCAGTGAGCCCCCGATCAATACTCCTGAGACAGAGCAGCTCTCCGTTTGAGTTTGGCTGATCAGCTTTCAGCTATAGTTACCAGCGCTGTCTCGTCCTGTCATACACTCTTCTCTTTTATGGCATGCCATCTACTCTACTTTCTGCTCTGTGCACACAACCTTTCTCAGCCCGAAAGAGACTACAGACAGAGCATGAGGGATGTTTGCTATGTTCTCTCACCTCTCTTCTCCTCAGTCTCTCAGTTGTCACTTTCCTCCCTCCCTCTCACTCTCCCATCTGTGTCTTGTATAACCTTATAGACCTGCATCAGCTTTATGAAACAAAGCATTCAGCCCATGGCAGCTAGAAACACAACTGAACACACTGAATATCTGAGCGCCTTTCTTAGAATCCAGAAAGAATTCCTTTTGTGTCTCTCACTAGAGTCCGGCTGAAGTGTTAGAGAATTTCAAAAAAGCAAAAAAGTCTTACTGAAACGTATGGCTTTGCACGCATAACATTTGAATGATTACACAAAAACAAAGATGCATGTGCTGAATTGACTTTCTGTAATTTTACAATACCTGCAGTTCAAAGATAATTTGTGTCAGATAAACTCTGAAAAAGTCATCGCATTTTGTACTTTCCCTCCTCTGAAGGTTGTTCACACAACAACAAAAAAAAAAACAGATTTACGGGAAGGGGTAAGTGATGGTCGTAAGGCAACTTTCATTTGCTGTATCTGCTGTGATTGGCTCCGCTTATGCTATACTGTACAGTCTCTGTCTTCCAGTAATAAAAAGATTGTTGTTGGTAGCCTAAGGGTATCTGCAGGTTTGTTTATGTCCTTTACTGCTATATTAAAACAAATATTCTTCTGTTCAAATAAAGAACAAGATTTCAGCAGCTGGATGTACTTTCTTTCTTAAGGCAGAACATGACAGCATACTGAATCAGAATAAATCTAAAGTAAAAGTGATGTCATCGTGTCTTTGGCCTTGGTCTGAGGTGTGTGTTGATTATTTCTTGTGATGTAGCTATACGTATATATATGATGTATAGATTCCCCTGCAGGTTTAATTGTGTCTAACATGTATTATATATGAATTGTCATTGTTGGAATACTTATGTTTAATGATGTCATCCCTGTGTCACTTTACAACACAGTGTTCATAAGAAGTGTTTATATCTTCACAAATGTATAAAGTAGGGCAAGGATGATATCAAAGGTCAAGGTTTACAGAGTACATTGTAAACATGTGTGACATGTTCTCTTTAATAAATCCTAATATGGTTGATTTGATACATGCACGACATTGTGTAAGAATGAAACTATGGCTTAGAGCACTACTGTAACTGCAGAATAACAAGGAAGCCAAACTGGAACATAACGGACAACAACGACACTAACAAAGTTAAAGCTCGCTTGTTCTGCTCGGAGGGCAGGTTATGTTTTTATGGTGGACGTAATTCAATCACAGAGTTTTAATCCCCTCTGATTTTCTGCTATAATAGATCCTAATTTAGTTTTGTGTGCTATCTGCATGCTGCTATGTCAGATTGAACAACAAGTTTGCTCTGGTAACTTTAGCAAGCAGAAAACAACAAGACAACAAGACAAGAACAACTCTTAACAAAGTTAAAGCGCTGTGTGACCTGCTTAGAGGACGTGTATTTATTGGGGGAAATACATTGGATTGGCGTAATTTGACTTTTTATTGTTTACTTTTATATATAGGATGTATATCATTTTAATGTCTGCTGTGCTCAGCTTGGTTTTTTCTAAACAATAAACACTTTATCTGTCTTAAAATCTCCATCTGCCTTTAAAGTTTATGAAACCTGTCTCACTCTTCTCTGGTCTATTAATAAATACTGAAGTAGTGCTGTGGTTTCTGCATCCAAGAGTGTTAAAGGTCAGCTACTTTCATACGGAAGCACTGAGCAAACAACTTAAACAAAAAAAGATGAGAACAAAGTTGATGTGATTTAACTTAAGGCAGGTTGATCAATTTTAACTTGTGAAGTCAATGCAAAATATTTTGGACATTCACTGGGGGAAGCACAATGACAGGATGCACAGTGGCATGACTGGTTTCACTTTGACTGTGAAAATGTATTGACTTATTTGAGGCTACAATAACTCCAAAATCCCCCTGAAACCAAGAAATGTATACGTGTACTGTACGAAGAGAGCAGCTTCACTGTATAGTCGGGCTGAGTAATAAGAGCTGAACGCTTCACAATGAAAACTGAGACACACATCAATACTTTCAGCTGATAAAAAGTCAGACTGTATACTAGCATGGGTGGGGGGTGGGGGGGTTTCTGCTAACCATCACTACACAACAGTCCAGGAAACACACACACCTACCTTTTCAAATTAGCGCTGTAAATCTGTTCCTGGTGGAGGCATGTTCACTGCTCCTCTCGCCGGGGTCATGATGAGGTTTCGGGCTTCACTTGGTGGAACAGTCCCGGCATGAGGGGGCGGTGCCCGAGCTTGGAGGGTGAAGCAGGGACCGTGGGGATGAAGTGCTGGAGGCACCGTGTCGAGGTGAAGTGAGGGTTCGGCTCCGGCCAGGGGGGAGAGTGGAGGGAGGAGAGAGAGGAGAGGGAGGAGGGGTAGTAGTAGGAAGAGGGGCTGCACCTCGCTCACCTGCCCCACCTCCATGTTCACCTCCAGCACTGAGGACCTTTCACAACGTTGATTCAATAAAAAAAACACATACATTTTCTTTGCATCAGTGGTGGTGTTTTTTTTATTCGTTGTGCTTTTTGTTTGGAGCTGTCAAATATCATTGTATTGTTGCAGACGTATCATTGAATGTTCTGGTCTTTTCCCCCACGTTTATTTTGAGTAGACCTACACTTGATAATCCAGGTTTGTAGCCTGAACATATTTACACTTCATCTGATCAATAACCATGTATCTTTTGGGGTGTGTGTCATACCTCCCTCTACTGCTCTGTCAGAATGATCTGCTCAAACATACATGTAGATTACTGTTGAAGGCTGCAACGTCTGCATTCAAAAAACACACTGTATAGTGTAGCATACATTTATTTAGGCTATACGTTAATATTAATATGGGAACCTGTAGCCTACTACATCTGTAGATAAAAAAAAACATAAATTGTAGAAATATGTCACCATGATGTATCTTAGCTTATATGTTCCGCATGGCCATGCTCTGCAGGGATAAACATGTAGAGGACAAACAAAATATTGAGCCTGTATCTGTATAGAGCCAGCATAGCAAATTGAATCAGGATGAGGCTCTCCACATTAATTATTCTGTTTTCATTAGCTCCCGTGTAGCTTCCCTCTTGTCAGTTCTTATGATTTACCTCCCAGTGTTTTGTTGTGGCTGTTATTGTTTCTTCTTTTGGAACTATAAGTTGGACTTTGTACTTTTACTTTTGCCTTTTGGTTTTAATGAAATACATTTTCCTCTGCTGCACTATTGGCCCTCTTATACTATACTTGACACTGACTATATGGCAAGTGACATAACAACAGAGTGGAGCTTGTGAGAATGTCTAATCTTTAGAGAATGTCTTAAAAAAGAATTAATCAAAGACCATAATCATCATGGCCCTTTTCTGCACTATTTTCCCATTATTACGGAACAGATGTCACATTGAGCGACGTTTTCAATGGCCACCAATTCATTACAGTCTTTGACTTTTCTGAACATGCCTTAAAGGAGCAATCACATCATTGACTCAGTAATCAGCCTCTTTCACCAGAGTGCCAAGGTCTCAAGAGCCTGAAGCAATCTACAACACAGGTGAGAGGACTCACATGATCTTTCACCCAAAGATTCGGGACCCTGTGTTTTTTTTTTTTTTTTTTTAATTGGGTCATTGAATTGCCATCATCTTGAGCCAGATAGTAGAGAAAACCTCTGAACAGATTCAAAACCAAAGACAAATGACCAGAGTGAAACGATGGAAAGTTTTGGTTTGGTGTGAAATAAAAAGAAACTACAACATAATAAGGACAACCTGCATCATGAGTACAGTGTAATAATACATTAATAACCACTCAAACCAATTATTACAAGAGACACAGTGTATAATTGTTTTGTTGTTTTTTTAAATAAAAAAATAAATGACATCAGCTCAACATATGCTCAAGCTTAATGGAAGTAAATACAACTTAGTTATAGAATTTAACAGAAAAAAATATCCAGATTTTCAATAATACTGACATCAATGTAAGCAGCTTTATCACAATCAATATCTCCTCCACTGCCTTTGTCTGGCTGTGTCAAAGAAGTCTGATGTAGAGTATTTAGTGTATAAATAAGAAATTCCTGTTATTTACAGTACATCATAGGATGTTTTTGTGCGTCTCAACAGCTGAAAAAGCAGCGCTGTCATGTAGGAAATATTTACAGCAACACTTAGAAATATGCAGCCTTTAACTCTTCTCCATTGTCCCATGTGATTCTTGGCTGCTGAATTTTATCACTGATGGTGGAAAGAGTGGAGAGACTCTCAGGAGGGTCTGGTTCAGGGAGGTGCCAGTCGATAAAGACCAAATACATCAAAGATCCTAAGACACCTCCAATAGGTGGGGCCACCAGCGGTACCCAGAACCAGTAGTTGTAACACCTGGAGAGCAGACAGAAAGGTATTCAGTTTTGGTTGTCAGATGTTTCAGAACAGTTTTTGTGGATTACTTTCAGCTTTAAATATAGATTTCCACAATTGCATTTAACTTTATCTAACAGCTAATGTAAGCAAGGAAGTGGATGAATGCTTACCTGTTATCTAACAGTATGGGATATCAAATGTGTTATTTCACCCATTGGCTTTTCACTACTCGCTATCACTGTTTTTCACAGCTCTCAATGAAGCGAGAAGCAGTGGAGTTATAATGATTCATCATGTTTTATTGCATTATATTTTGTATCTTATTGGTCTGTATGGTGTCTGTCCCATTTTGAGGTTGATTTGTTCTGTCACTTGTGCACTTGTTGTTGATGTTTATATATTTCAAAGGGACAGATGTTGCAAATGAGTGCTGTGGTGTGTGGCATTGATTTACTTGCTTCATACTTGTCCTTATTTAAATAAATATTAAATTAACAAACAAATGTTCCCTTTCTGTTTATTATCAGAGCTCTGTGCAATGACAGCCCAGTCAGGAGTTACTCTGCCCTCTAGTGGGCATTTATCAAATCAAGCAGATTTAAACAAATCGGCTGAATAAGTGTTCAACCTTAGTGGGACCAAATAGAAGCCATCCGATTATCAGATTATATTAAGCAACAGTTTGCATCATGGATCATAATCAGGTGTTTTGTAACAAGCTGACAATTCATGTTCCTTTGATCCTGCCGAAAACAACCCTTGAGTCTGATAACCGCTGACATACAGGATTTTCTAAAGAAATACAAGGTCTAAGAAAAGTAATAACCAAGACAAAATCCTTTCTTTCTTTGAATTTGAGTTTAATGGTTTGAATGAATTGTGTTGCTTTATCAAAAATCCTTAAATGTGAAATATGATAATAAATGCATTATCAGCTCGTAAAGTTTTATGTGTTTACTGCTGGGCATTTGTGCTGTTAATGTAAGATAAGATACATACGTGAAGACCTCAGTTCCCCAGCCTGCAGTCAGCGTAAAGAGTCGCGGCCCTAGGTCTCGAGCTGGATTGATTGCAGCACCACAGTTAGCAGACATTGACATGGAGATCCCCAGGACGATCACAGCTACTATTGGGGGAATCAGCTCTGAGGGAGCAGGTGTATTCCTCTTTTCGTCCAAAGCCAGGATGCACAACATGAGCATGCTTGTACCCACTACCTAATCAAAGAGTAAAACGCATAATTAATTAGTCATATGAAAGACAGATGAAAAGTTAGCACTTATACTGCTACTGACCTGGTCAAGGAAACTTCTGCCCAAAGTGATGTACTCAGATGGATATGTGGCGAATATGGAAGCTGTCTCATTTTGACCATAAACAGTCAATACTCCTCCACTAAACTCCATTATGGCATCTGACACAGAAACACAAATAATCTATAGCAAACAAAAACCCACAAGTCAACACCCATCTGTATGTGAATTGATAAAGTGTTCGAGTTGCCAAAAAGACAAACCATAGTACACCAGGTAGACGAGGCCTGATGCCATATAAGCCCCCAGCAGCTGGGAGAGGCTGTAGGGCACCAGCCGGCCCCAGGGCACCCGGCCCAACACACAGAAACTCATAGTCACTGCTGGGTTCAGATGAGCACCTTATGAGAAATAAAGGAGATGGTGTGAAAGGAAAGCAGGATGGAATAAAACAGAAGTGAATTACAGTGAGAGAGAGAATGGATGGTAATGAAATCTCAGATTATTTGTAGCCATAGTGTGTCAACTAAGTAAAGGTAAACAGTAAAGGCCTTGAAGAGCTGGACTAGAGAGTGGCGGATATTAGTGTCATAAATCGAGCATGCTCAGATCAGTGGATGACTGCAGTAATGGAAGAGTCATAATAGGCAGCATATTAAATATTGCTGTTGTGATTTACTGTATTTTAATCCTTTAAGGATGTCCCTTAAAAGTGTGATATTGTAATGACTTTAATGATCTTACCTGAGATGCCCTTGGTGAGGTACATAGCCGACATCACACCCACAGAGAAGGCCATGTTGACTGACAGGAACTGACCTTTAGTGTCTCTGCTTGTCTTCACTTGAGCTGCAGCAGAACAGCCAAACAGCTTCACAGCACATGAAGAGGACAAAGAGAAACACCAATAAGGTATGAGACGTCAGGAGAAATATTGTAAACTTCGGAGCAACTGAGTGGCTTATATTATTCACATGCAACACAGAAGGCTACTTCAAACAGTTTCAGGCAAAAGTACACATGCACTTCCATTTATTGCCTTCTAAGTAATGGATGCACCAGTTATAGTAACACTAAATCAGTTAACACAGGCATGTTAGGTTGTAAATGTAATTGAATCCCTCCCCTCATGAGCTTCGACTTAGTAATGATAACAATGATAAGGATAACATTCATCTATAGATATCCATCTTTAGTGATTGTTTATTATAATTATAAACCTGACTCTCCTCAATGAAACAAAAAATAAAAGCGTGAAAGTATCCTCAGCACTCCTCTGTACTTCTTTATTGAATAAAACTAAAGATGAAACTACACAAGTGGGTTTCGTGTAATATACGTGTAATACATAAGCTTGTGTAAATAAACGCAATTGTTGAATTGTATTTTATTTATGTAAAAAAAAAATTAACATAGAAAGTAAAGCTTAAGTTGAACTGATACTAATTTTTCCACACGTCATTTTTTAGTTCCTGAATCTTTCAGTTCAGTTCAATTATTGCATAGAAATAAGCCATAAAAATAATGGTGTATTCTGATGGTTTTGTTATGCTTTTGTAGCTCATAAAGAGTCTTTCACATTTAATTCAGTCGATTGCTTAACCAACTCACAGGAGCTTTAAATAATAATAATAATTAAAAAACATATAAGACTATAATAATCATCCTGAAAATGATAGCTCAAAATTTAAAAAAATAAATCGTAAGTAAAGCTGGGGGATTTTTCAAATGGGAAAACATACAATTCATTTTTACAATAATACAGAAAATAACATTTAACAAATTTAACAAAGGCAAACTGTTGGGGGAAAAAGTCCAATACGGTAGTTTAAAAATTGTTTCCCCTTTATATTTATATTGTTTTATATTTTTGATTGGATTCAAAGGAAATCAAAATGCAAAGAGCAGTGTAAATCATGTGTTACTTACCAGTAAGACAAAAGTTCCCAAGAACTCAGCCATGCACTCTCTCACCATGGCATTTTCAATCTCAGGGTAGGTTTCTTCAACATTACTGGAGTTTTATCCTTTTTCACACCTCACAATGAACTCCGTCTTTGTTGTACAGACCAGCTGGTGGTCTGTCTGTTTCTTTGTCAAGGTGTTTATGTAGTGTTAATAAAAAGTTGGTTAGTTTGTGGCAAGAAAAGAAAGCTTTTCTGTCACTACTTCCACTAGAGCATCTGAGGACCTGTCCACTGTATCCCTCTTCTTTCCCTACAGCTGGTCAAACACTGTTACTCATTTATTGGGCTGTGGCAGCTTTAGTATTGGCTGAAGCAGAGAGCGTTATGTTCCTTAGCTGTTAGAGTTTTATGAACAGAGGCCATAAACAGGCTGATTATGAGTTGAAAGCATGAACAGAATATTAATACAACTCAAACTGAACCGTAAGAAACCAGTTAGTTTATCTTTATTTTACTTCTTTAAAAGTCATCAATCTGTCTCAAATCAGAGTGAGAGAAAGCTGCAGGTTAACTCCAAACTACATGATAAATAATTGTAAACTTAACTACACAAACACAGATTTTTTTTTTACCTGTTATTCTGTCAAAAATCCTGCTGGTAACTTTTCAATTCAAATACTTCTACAGGCTTATTCTAACAGGGGAAACATTAAACAATCCATCGGGATTTTGAGGGGCAAATATTTAAGTAGTACAAAAACAATTGTACAAGTTTTATAATTAAGATGGGTTTCAGATAAATCTCTGTTATCATTGCAGAAGGACATGTCACTGTGACCCACTCTCAGTAAACTCTGGACTCCTAATGGATTACATAACCTAAATAATGGACATGCAGCAGTTATGATTATATGTCGATCATTTTCAGAAAGACACATGCCTTTGGCCCAAAGGACATGTTGACACAAGATAAGACAAGTAAAAGTGACTGGAGATTATCTCTCCACAACCAGAACCTTTACATGTTATGTTGAGATCATAAAAATAATGCTGACAGGCAGTGATATTTAGGCTTATCACATCTATGCAGGTTATCTGTGTCTGATTATTTGTTAAAGGACAGATAACTTTAATACGGCGGCCCTGAAGTGCAAAGCACAAAGACAAATCAGAAAACACAACAACAAATAAGAAAACTCAACGACTAATAAGGAAGCACAACGACAAATCACAAAACACAACACATATAGGCAAACACAATGTCGTTAACTTCTAGTGGAAAAGGTAGGTACCTGCGGTCGATAGGGATTGTCGCTGACTGGACAAACACACTGTCTGTCTTTTTAACCGGAAGGATATGCTGCTTTCACGTGTTGATTTCAAAACATGAGTGCAACCGATGATTCAGATATAGTCTCAGTCTCTAGACAATAGTTTGACACAATTTGGGCAATACATCATAATATTTTGATTCCTCCTGCTCTGCTTCATTTGTTAACTTTTCTCTGCCTTGCGCCAAAGGAGTATGATGCATTTACTTCCTGTTAAAAAAACGGACATTGCGTTCGTCTGATCAGCGACGATCCTTGTTGACTGCAGGTAGCTATCTTTTCCGTTAGAAGTTAATGTTGTTGTGTTTTCTTTTTTCTTGTGTGTTTTCTGATTTGTCGTTGTGCTTTGCACTTCAGGGCCACCGTATTTTAGCCTACTTCAGACTTTTGACCACAAAGCCATTAATGCAATATGATTGAAATAAATATCATGTCATGTTATCTCCCTCTGCTGGATGATAAATAAAAAGTATCACTTTAAGTTAGGGTTTATTAAAAAAGCAATATAAATGCAGATCACTTCTATTTACATTATAATACATGTGTTTTTATTTACAGGTGTAACATTTTAAATAGCTTTCAACTAACCAAAACAATAAGTATCAAAAGGTAGGTTTTATAATGTATTAGCCATCAGTGCACTTTCATTTTGGCTGGTACAGAAAATCCCAGGCATGAGGTAGCTAAAGTGAGAAAAATACACACTTTTGACCCGGTCTCTGAGACTATATTCCCTTTGGGGCTTTGTTTAAATGTCTTTAAAAACGAATAGCTTAAATGTTTTATTGGCATTAACCCCAAATAGTTTAATACAAAGCTTAATACACGTCAGGTTCAACAGTGTCTCTCTCATGGATGGCTTTTAGTTTCTAGTTTGAATTCAGTCCCTAAACTCAATATCCTCATGTTTCCAGATGCTTCAGAGGGCGACGCAGAACCACATCCACAGGCCCAGGGGGCAGTCTTCTTATCAGAGTCCACACCTCCAGACGTCTCATCCCCCCCATGCTGACACCCTCAATCTCTACGACTTCATCACCAGGACACACCTTGTCAACAGGGCCTCCTGGAGGGGACAGTGTGCAAAGGGAATGTTCAATTCATGACTTTAATGAACAAGTCTGTTTAAAAAGAGTGGTCAAATTCAAAAAGAGTACAGCACATGATCTATATGTGCAAAATGACTACTATACTTTCTGTCTCTGAATTCAGCTAAGACTTAACCACTCACACCTTAATGAGAAGTTACAGCTTTTATTGAATAAGTTATATTCAATTATCAGTATAAGGTTCAGGTTTCATAATCAAATTGGGTTTATATACTTTTGGCCAAATTTTCTATTTCATGTTGTGCTGTTTGATAATAATGTTCAAATCCCTCACCCTGTTTGTTAATAAAAAAAACAAAAACAAAAAAAAAACGGGGGGGGGGGGTCTCTTATCCAGCCCGTCCCATCCATCTTGGGAGTTTTCGCTGGTGCCGCTGTGGGGCTTTATGTGCGGGGGTGGGGCCTCTTGCCTGATTCCGCGGGGACCCTGTGGCCCCCACTTCTCTGTTCTTCTCTGCTCTTCTTCTTTATGACATCTCTATGATCTTGATACACATGTATGTGTACACCTATGGATGTACATGTGTACGTATGTGTGTATGTGTATGTATATTTGTATATTTATTATTATATATATATATTTTTTTATTACCATCATCTCTCTTTTTATGATGGTCATATTATTACATTCATATAATTTTATCTTCTTTCTATTACTGTTTACATGTATATATACTTTTTTTCTTTCTCTAACTAATTTTTCATTCACTTTTCATTTATTCATATTTTTGGTTGTTTTCTCGCTACTCCCCACTAAATTCCGCACTTTAATGCATTAAGCTGCCAGGAACACATTTCACACCTTTCTAACACACTACCTGAGCATAAAAATCATTGCTTGACTCTCATCTCATTTAAATGTATTTTGTCTGTGTTGTCGCTCTGTATCTTTTCTTATGTTTTGCTTTTTTGTATCTATTTTTATTGTATTTTTTTGTCTTTGTTTGTTTGTTCTTGCTTTAGTTGTCATGTCTATGTCATGTCTATATGTTCTTGTTTCATTTTGTTCACCTTATCACCAATAAAAAAATAAAAAATTCCTCACCCTGGAAGATCTTCTGTACAGTCAGTGGTCTGTCCACCTGACTGGAGCCCACTCCTCCCTCCAGGCTGAAGCCCAGATCCCTGTTGTTCTTCTCCAAGCGCACACACATAAGCTGACCTGAGAGGGCAGCAAAAGCAAAAAACAGAAAGAGCTTTTAATTTCAAACTGTCACAGATCATTATCTTGATAAACGCTGGTAATGTATGACCTCTCACCTGTCTCTGTGGTCTGAGTTGCTGTTGGCTCTTGACTTTTTGTCTGCGCTCCCTCTTTACTAACATTGCTCATCCCTCCCTTCCTCAGGACCACCACCCCCAAATCCCGAGTTTTTGCTCTTCTCAGGACCCTCAGGGCCTCCCAGTGGGCGTAACTGCTCAGTGCTGTGCCATTAATTGACAATACCTGGTCCCCTTCACATATTGAGCCTTCCTTTGCTGCTACCCCTAAGTGGAACACCTTGTGAACCTGAGAGGAATACAAAGAAAGGACATGAAGAAATGGGCGACATTGCCTTTGGATATTTTTCAGGGGAAAACAAGTTTTTCCTCACAGTGACTGGCTTGTTCTGGTCAATGCCTCCAGCCAAACTGAAGCCCAGTCCCACTCCCACGTCCTTATGGAGAACAACCACTTGCACATCGTTATAGTCCTGCATGCCAAAACAGAAAGGTTGGACAAACCAATGATGTTATTATAATAAACATTTTAAGATAAAACTAAGTTAAGAAGGAAATATGCGAAAGAGAAAAAAAAAATATGATATCACATGCACAAAGGTTCCAAAGGATGCTATAAATATGCAGGTGTCCTGTGTAATCATATCAAGTTGCAGGTTAATTACAACCCAAGAAGGGGCCATTGCTGTACTGCTGTACTCTAGGATTGTGAATGATATTACCGGAGAGAATCAGACAAATCATTCATATTTTACTTCTTCCAAATTAATGGAAAATTTGAAAGGACATCAGGCCACATTTGGAGTATAACTAACGGTTGGACAACAGCTTATGATCTTACTGTCTATGCTTATGATACATTTCAGCTACTTACTTGCTTCCTGTTTTATTCGATAGTTTTGTGACACTAATGATACTGTTATCTTGGAATTTATGCCTCTACAGTGATCTAACTTTTGGCATACTTCCTTGTTAGCATAACACTCCCTTAGCAAGCTAACACTTAAGGAGCTAATGGGAATTCAAGCCTTTCCAATTGTACTGTGTAACACTATAAACAGTAATGAACAGGAAATGGTTAAATGCAAACATTATCTGTTGTGCAATGGTAACTAACAGGTGATAAAACAAGTTGTGTTACCTTGGAATATGGCCTTCATTTTGAATTTGATTACCACAATGCATTGTCCTTTTAGTTTCTGATTGTTGAAGGAGTCTAATTGTAATGATTTTGGGCATTTTCACAACACAGCAATACAATATGACAACATTTAAACTTTCCACCCTGGTAGTGACGACAGAAAGAAATGGCTGCTGTGTGCATATGGTGAATGCTGTACATTGGGGTAAGTGACCAAATTTGAGCCAAAGACCGGTCTGCTGTTACAATACCTACATTTTAAAATCACAGCAGAACATTGAAACACCAAGCTGTTTGTACCTGCAGAGTGCTGTCACCAAGGCTCCTGACATCCTCCAGCAGCTTGTCGAGCTCATCAGCTGGCATCACAGACACATAGGAAAAAGCCGACATGTCTGAGCTTAGCGAGGCTGTTCGCCGACCTACAGATTGCCACTCATCGCTGTCATTCTCTGACTCATAGTCCACTCCAGCAAAGTTACACAAGTCTGAAAGACTACAGAGAGGAAATTGAGTTATGATGGTAAAAATGTATACCTTGAATTTTGTTGATATAAACTCTAC